ACCTTAGTTTCTGGGATTATCACAATTACACATGACCAATTGTATGTCGCTTTAATTGGATCAGAGAGAACAGGTTATCTCCAGCTATAATCCAGTAACCATATACAGGGAATTTTATATTGATTGGGCTTATTTTGAATAGACAGATACAAATCAAGTCAGCGGGAACCAACCCTTATTTTTCCCCCTCTTATAACATGAAACATGAAAACTCCTATTTTCTGTTTGTTTTTGTTTTGCATGCTTTGCATCATAACATTCCTACAATCGAGTGCAAATTAATTTTAGAATAAATCAATCTGAACCAATTGTACAGAGTGAATAATGATTAGATTCATGGTTTAGGTTTAATGCAGTTTTACTAAATAATATCATTTTTGAAAAAAATATGACTAATAAAATTATGCTTTCTAAAGATACATCACTTTTTGTTTGATTTCTGTATGAACTGCACATTAATCTTTCATGTTGTTCCATTCTATGTGTAATTAATCAAAGGAGATTGATCTTGAAAAGACAGTTAACTGTTATACAATTAAACGATTCCAGATGGAGAAAAAGAAAATAATTGACTATAATAGTAAAGCCAGCAAAAGCAAATGAAATGTTGATTCATGAACAGAAAGTTCTACAAATATGAATAGTCTGAACGGTTTGTTAAATTTGGCCTCAGGCAGTTCTTTGATAGAAGCTCGGTACTTACACATCAGACGGTCAGGCTGAACAGCCCTTTCAGGGCTTAAAGAATGCTATGAAACAATAGGCAGTATTAAATTTTGAAATGTGATTGATTGCTTCCTTTGTTGCAAGCACTCTGCTAAGCATTTTCCTGGTGACATAAACTATTTGAAATATTCAGGGGGAACAGATTACACTGAAAATAAATGTTAGGTAGGGTAATATTTGATAAGAAATCTATAATTATCCATGCGCTCTCATCAAAATGTTGAGCACACAAAATATTTTGATATCAGTAGCCATCTGCTGCTGATATATTCAGATTATAACAGGATTGGAAGCATACCGTTGCTTCACTGATGATAGAATGGAGATTGTGTCAATGTGGATTTAACCTGAGAAGGGAGGGAAAGCCCAAGCACACACTCAACAAGAAAATACTGTACGCTGAAGCTGCTGGAGAAAGTCAGAATGCTCAGTGCAGTTCCTCTTTGTGATTTGAATATTAGCTTTATTTCTATCTTTTAACCAATATTAGCCACCGTTACTCTGAAAATGTCAGACAGGGTTTGCTATTTTTTTTGTCAGACATGCTCCTCTTTTGCTGTAATGCTTTTAACATATTAAAAATATTCCCTTTGGTTAACCTATGTCCATGGTGGCGAACCTATGGCACGCATGCCACAGGTGGCACACAGAGCCCTCTCTGTGGGCACGCGAAGCATCGCCCCAGTCCTAGGCCTTCAGCTGGGTTTTATTAAACCTTTTTGCTTTAGGCCTCTGACGCCATGTGCAAAAAAAAAAGGTTCCATCAATCAATCAATTTCAACTTCTCGTGGGAATAAAAAGATCTCACAAAGTTGGAATTGATTGATTGAACTTTTTAATCCCACCCAGTCTGCCATTACCATCGTAGTCACGCCCACTCAAATGGCCACACCTACCCAATGGGCCACACCCACCCGGCACCTGATGATACATAAGTGGGTTTTGGGTTGTAGTTTGGGCACTTGGTCTCTAAAAGGTTCGCCATCACTTACCTTTGTGTAGCGATATCACTTACAAGTGTAGATGATAAATGCAGTCCCTATCCTGACATGTGTCTGTTCTGTTAGTTTTAGATAAGAAATTTGCTAGGTAAGAAATTTGTATCTAAAAGAAAACATAGCAGACTTACTTGGTCTACTAACCAATCAATATATTAAAGAAATTGTAATGGTGATGGATTGGTCAAAAAAAGCAGGAAGGTCTATGGTAGCTATATAAGAGCAGTTCAAGTCTAAATCTTTCAAATTTGGTGAAACTCTTGCATTAGAAAACATTTATTCACCCAAAACTCTTTGTTGCCCCTGCATAGGTCTTCCATGTCTCATACCAGTTCTTCCCCTTCTCTTCTGTTTCTAAAGGTAGCTGTATCATCCATACAAAGCAGCTCATCTGCTTATTTGAGGTAACACTTGAAAATCAATCCATTAGATTTAATTGTACAGTAGAAATAAGAACTAAATGAGTTTCTGCTTGTTCTTTGCATTCATTTCACTTCTGTCATTTGTGTGAGAGTTTCAGAGATTCTGGAAGAGTCACTAATTTCCAATAGATCTAATTTGCATTAAATGGAATAGTATTATAATTCATATTTTTCCATTGTGATAATTCACAGAAGAATCAAGTCACGCTCCTCTTTCTTAGCTGTGACTTTCTGCAAAGTGAACAGCTTAACTATAAACTGTTCTGCTTATGCTTCACAACATACTTGGAAGTGTCAGCCATAATCCCGAACAATTTTTCAGACACCAAGACTAGATGCACATAAATATTATTTTTGCTTTGCACAACAAACTGCTATACTCTCTTGCAAATTTATTCTAAAAGCCTTTTTGCATTTTAAATACAATTTGTCATATGGCCTGGGAGACCAGTATTTAAAAATCTCAAGCCCCAGCACACTTGAGATAATCATTGTTTTTTGCAGCTTTTGTCTGAAAGTCCAATTAACCGAATCGCTGTGTACATGCTTATACCCTTATGCAAGAATATGTTGGTGGGATTATTACTGCATTAACATGCGTAAGCCAGGACTTCCTACTTAATGAAACATAAGAAATATATCTATGCCCAACTTGATTTCTGTGGGGATGCTTTCCATTCTAATCATGTTTATTTTCTGGTAAGTACTGGTATATTCAGTGAGACATGCTCTGAAATGAATGCACAGAAATTTGTAGTCTTAGCTATAAGTAATTTCAAGTGGGTGATGGTGAATGGCCAACCTTTATTAACAATAACTGTGATAAAACAGATTTAAGTTGTCTCCAGACTTCGTCATGTATTAAACAAATTAAATGAAATAAAGAGGAATTTATTTCATTAAAGGAAGGAAAGTCAAACTCTGGCACTGGTGTAGTTTTTGGCTATTTTCCGGTCTTGTTATCAATGTAATCTTTGCACTATAACTGCAGTTTGTTTTAGTCTTACAATACAATAATATAATTGTCTACGTAGAAGCAAACTCCACAATGTTCAGCAATAATTATTCTTATTCAAGTAAAAAAAGAGATTAACTCATCTTTCCCCAACTTGGTGTCTGTTGGATGTGCTTATATTTGGAGACTGCTAAACTGAAGAAGACCATACCAGTCACAAACATTGTTTTTGCTAATGGATTCTAAACCGAAAACAAAATACTGAAATAGTTCTTCAGTAGAGGAAATCCTGATGTGTAACCTATACTGCTCTTCCAAGAAAAACAAGAAGACAAGAAGCAACAGATGGAAACTAATCAAGGAGAGAAGCAACCTAGAACTAAGGAGAAATTTCCTGACAGTTAGAAGAATTAATCAGTGGAACAACCTGCCTCCAGAAGTGGTGAATGCTCCAACACTGAAAGTTTTTAAGAAGAAACTGGACAGCCATTTGTCTGAAATGGTATAGGGTTTCCTGCCTGAGCAGGGGGTTGGATTAGATGACCTCCAAGGTCCCTTCCAACTTTATTATTATTATTTAAACAATAAATTGCAAAAAAGCACCATAAAATTGGTTGACAGTATGAAAAATTTGCAGACTTACTCCTTATTTTTGATTCCAGTCATAAAATGAATCGGTCCACACTGCGTTGCTAAATCACTATAATTCCATAGAATTTTTTGATTGCAAAATAACTCCTGGAAACCAGATTTTCCTAATTCCTTCTCTCTTTTTTTTTTTGTCCTTAATGAAAGCTTAATGTTAAAGCAATAGTTATGTCATCCAAAAAATAAAACTATATCTAAGTATGTTTGTTCTTGTCCTCCAGCTGTGTCTTTTGCTATTATAAATTAACATCCCTTTATAAGCAAACTAATAGTATACAATACTAAATAAATGTCTTAATTTGATTTTATTATAATTGTGTGGACCTTATTTTCTTATGATTATATACCAGTGGGTTCTTGGTTGAGGTACAAATTCTTTAGCATTCCTTATTTTTGTGAATTCTTCAAACCAGAAAATTTCTGCTAGTACCTCCATTGTACTGTGAGAGCTGTATCTGATTTAATTTGATGGTTTAGTTAAGAGAATGAGAAAAAATTGAATATGGTTGAGTTGAAAGCAAATAATTTCCATCCTATATTTAACAAACTTAACTATAGTGATATCTGCCATTTATAAAAAAGATTTTCTCTCTGTTATATAATACATATTTTAAGTAAGTTACCTTTAGAACAGGGAAAAAACATAGTTATAATTTTACTATAAAGCATTAAATATCCACAAATCTTAAGCTGTCCAAATTTAAAATCACTTCTTTAACATAATGTCCCTGTGAGTGATTGTGGAAAAGCTGAGGAAGGTATGAAAAAGAGAATAGACATAATCAGCAAGTTAGCTGAAAACTTATAAATAGCCACTAAATTCAGTGAAGAGAAACCCAGAAAGAAGCAATTCAAATCATTCAAAGAGTTTGGGCTATATTAACCCACTATAGTGATTTTCAATCACTGGCAACTTTAAGAAGTGGGAATTTCAACTCCCAGGATTCCCCAGCCAGCATTATAAATAATGTTGGGAAATTGCATCATCATTTCCAAGATTTTGATTTATCCCAGCCATATATTTAAATCTGCGTAGCTCTTGCTTCCTTCATCTAGCCTAGCTGCTGTAGGTGGGCCATAACAATGTGATAAATGTGATAAAGATTCCATGATGAGTGCTGATAACAGTGCTTTAAACTGAAATGTGAAGCACTCTGATGTCATAGTCTCAATTAAATCACTGATTTGAACACAAATGTATTTCTTGACATGCGCCAATTTTTGCATAAAGGTTTTTCTTTAACATTATAGGTGAAAGGTCCTCCAGCTGCAGGAGCGTTTAAAGAAAGACCAACGAAGCCCACAGCATTTCGCAAGTTTTATGAACGAGGCGACTTCCCAATTGCCCTTGAGCATGATACAAGAGGAAACAAAATAGCCTGGAAGGTAGGTCAGGGCACAGCTGTGTTAGGCAGCTCCACTTATTGAAGTGACAAATGTCATTGCCCAAACTGTTGGCTCATAAGTAAATAAAGTAGAGCAATTTTTTAGCAAATAGAGGACGGTGGGGGAACAAGTCAGAGACCGGCCTCCTGAGTCAGCCATCTACCTTGGTGAACAATTAAATTATATACCGCAAAAAGGGAGTTGACAGAATTGCTTTGCCTTAGAGAACTGTCTCCTGCTCAATTCATCTCTATTTTTATGAGGACCTGGCAACCCAGCCTATCCCAGGCAGTCCATCAAGTGATGGAAGTGGCTGGATACAGTGAGCAGCAGCAGCCATTTATCTCCCCACCCTCCCCTCCAATTTCACCTTCCTGCAGGACAGTTCCAAATGGAAGCTTTAATTACCTAAATGGATAGGTCAAGATTGCCTGCTCCTTTGAAATGCAGAGCAGAATACTAACGAAGGCAGATTCTCATTCCAGGGCTTCACTCCCAGGCTGCAGCATATGTCAGACGGCATAATCACTGTCATACATGCCCCTGTTAGAGGCTGACCTCCACTGCTGAAACCATTATGGCTCTGACATCTCTGACAAAAGGTTAATTGGCTTCAAAATAAATGTATTGTCTAATGACTTCATTCAAATGCAGCCGTGTTTCTCTCCAAAAGGCTCAGTGATGTTATTTGTAAAACTTGCCAATCTTTGAGGTAACTAGAGCAGGCTTTTAAATTTAATTTGAAAAATGAATGCTGATCTTTAACCTGCTCTTTCTATTTAATTATTTTTGTTATCAAAGAATGAATTTCTCTCTCTGTGCATATTATTTATTCTCTGGGATAAGATTTTTCTTCAAACAGGACAAAGATAGCCTGAAGATACATCAAATATACTGGGAATAGTAAAAAAAAAAAAAAAAAGGGGGGGGGAATTAAAAGAAGCACATAAGCCATTCTTAGAATGTTTGAATAGTTCATGCTCATTTAAGCTACCATAATTTAGCTAATTAAAATAAAACATGACATGACAATAATAATAATGATCTATAATTTGTATATTAAACAATTTGATACCCTGAAAATGTACTAAGAAAGATTGCATCAAAACTGAAGGGATGTATTTCACTCAGATATATAGTGACTTTTGGTGTGATATTTTCTAATCTTATAGAATATTATTACTGACATTTATAGATAAATGTAAACATTATAATATTATATAAGGATCTTTGTATTAACTTCATATGAAATTTGTGATATTAAGTATTCTGTTTTGATTTTCCTCAATATTATATGCTTAAGCCAATAATATATTTTATTTGAATTAATAGACATAGAAAATAAATCACAAAGCAGAACTGATGGGCCAAAGTCCATCAATTACAAAATGACTTATAGGCTAACTTAAACAAATTTAAGTTTAATTATATCTATTTTTTTTAAAGGTGGCATGACCTAATATTGCTTACTTGGGAATTTTAATGGTAAAGATTTAGAAAAGGAGGAAAATGCACAGAAGTGGAATAAATACACTTAATAAGTACACTTAAACACTGTAATAAGTATTTTATTATTTTCAGTCCCTCTTCTGCTGCTTTACTGTATATAGAAGATTTTTTATGAAGTTCTAAAAATTGCATGGTATGAAGAGAACATGAATATTAAAAAGCTTCTGTAATTCCAGCTGTTTTTTTATCTTTAGGTCAGCTGATGGCTGATAACACCATAGGCACCAATCTAAAGCTTTGCTATGCTTTCACCCTATCCCACAGCTAACAGGAATCTGTATAGCATTGGATATCTTGCTGGTTGTACAGTGTGGCTTCATGTGCAATTGAAAGAGGTCTGCATTGGACTGATACGATGCACATCATAGAAAAGAGCCACGATTGATAGTTTTCTGATCTGAAATTCCAGCCGTGCCCAGTATCATTCAACTTATGAAAAGTCTCCTTTAACTGACATGCACAAAACTCTTCATACAGTGATTTTTTTCCTTTTCCTTTTATATTGTATATAGACAGGATGAACTTTAAAAAAAAATCTTTGAAACTAGGGGTCCATCAGATGATTGTTTAATTTAATGATCCCTAGCTGGCAGCAAAGAGTTTGAGGGTTCTTGTTTTTGATGTTTTAAATCACTTACAGCCACTGATTGGTCATCTAGATTATTGTGTAGCTGAGATGGAATTGTTGAATTATTTTTGAAGAGCTGGAGTTAAAGGGATTTAACTGTAAGGATTGATGTGGAAACTGGAAGCTAAAGAGATGAAGTGAGGAATCAATACTTGGCTGGAAGTAACAACCACGGAAGTACAAGATTTGGATCTTTTTGGTTACACACATTAAATCAGGGAAAGTGGGATCAGTTTCAAAACTTTGTACTTTCTGGGTTGACCAGTGGACTATCCCTTTTTTAAAGGGGGGAAAAGTGGTTGTGCTATTCTGGTCTCCCTTAAAAAAGAATTGATGCTTGGACCAAGAGATCAGGGATGAAATTGAGGGCCAAGATCTCACAGGAAACAGGCAGAAATAACTAAAAGCCAAGAGACAGATAAATATCTCTTAGCACAGAGGTCCCCAACCTTTTGGGCACCAGGGACCGGTTCCGTGGAGAAAGGTTTTTCTGCAGACCGGAGAGTGCATGGTTTTGTGTGCTGCCTATATGTCGCCGATGGGGCTTTGCATGTTTGTGCGGCCTGGCTGCTGGCATGCCATGGCCCGGTACTGGTTCATGGACCAGGGGTTGGGGACCCCTGTCTTAGCAGTTGCAGGTTATTTCAATATTATCTTTTAGACACACATAACATAATTCAGCTGCTCTCCTAAGGAGAAGAAAGTATTGCTATTTAGGGTTTCTCATAACCCGCTTAATTATTGTCTGAACATTTAATTTTTCTGCTATTTATTCAAAACCATGATAAAAAAACAATTGGTTGGGATGTTAGAGGAGAATCAAATTGGAATTCTTGGTTTTCAACTATCAAACTGTCACTTTCTCTTTCAACTTTACTTTCTAGCCTTGATGAATAATATACACAGGGGGGGGGGGGGGAACTCATGCTGCCTTAGGCTTCCTAGAATAAAGGAGGTATCAAATAAGTAGAGTGATTTACATACTTGTGTAATGACTACTTAGGTGTAAATAAAATGCCATAATGAATTATATAGCAGTGTGGCCATAGAGGCTTTTTATTTAGACAGAGTTGGGTTTGGGGCATACGATTCCATCTATGAGAAAAAAATGTGTATTGGGATATTTCTACAGCATCAGTTTGCAGATTTGGTTTTACAATGGAGTACATTCATGTGGGAAGAGATATGGTAACATCCCATGGAGAACGTATCTCCATAGTGAGAAGCAAGAACACTGAATTTCAAGGAGAAGCAGATCTAGATAAAGGAAGTGACACCTCTTTGGAGCAAATATCCATAAAGGAGATCTGAGAAATACAGTGAATTGAACAGCAGTCTAAACAACAGCTGAAGTTAAAAATGCAAGCAATGAAGAAGTAAGATCTCCCTTTTACAATGATATACTGGATGAATACAAAGTGTTTGCTTAAATTGTCTCCCATGTTGAAGAAATTGTGTACAAGGTCCCTGCATGATGGACCTATGTTTTATTTTGATTTTGGACATTTTCCCCTAGTGCAGAAAATAGTTTAATCATCATGACATATTGTTTCTCCCATTTCATAAAAAACATTGCCTCTGAAGACCTCAAAAATACTCCTACTTTCATATAATCAACAAAATGGAGCAACTGTGCTGACTTGTGACAACATTTTTAAAGTTTTGTGGTTATGATTCCTAGAAGAGGTAGATAAGTAACCTACCCTAAACTGTAAATAAAAAGTATCTCTGAACATCGACAAACAAATGAAACTGTGACAAAAAGATAGAATAAGGAAACTAAGAATGTTAGCTTAGAAAAGGAGAAACCAAAGGGAGATAGTTCTTCAAGAACTATCACACATATGGCAGCAATTATTTTTCCAAACAGCTGAAAATAGAAGAATAGTTTCAAGGTACATGAAGGAAGATGTTGGTTCCATGATAGGAGTAACTTCCCAATAATTAGAATAGTGTGATAGCAGAACCAGGAAGGCAATGAACTTCCCTTTACTAAATATATACAAGAGAGGATGGATTGGAAATATTTACAAGGAGATGGAAGATCGAGTCATTGGCTAAAACAATTATGTAGGTCTGTGACAAAATGATGGATAACATTCCTTTCCTTGCTATTATACTACTACATTGATATCCTACTATTTGTCTGGAAACTAAAGCTAGAAATCTGGAAGGCTTTTCCAGACTCTTTTCTGGTGTAGCCTTTCGCACAATCCTCCTGCTACCAGGTCTAAAAGGCAAGAAGATTTCCTAATTAGCTTTGAACATGATCACAAGAACCTGCTATTGGAAAGAGAAACTAATCTTTCCTATATGCAGAAATGCTTTGTACTAACGTACAGGATTTGTTACTACTTTGATGACAAAACTGCCATTCATATATTTATTTACCGTAATATAATTATTTAGAAACATCATTGAGAGAACAGTATCATTTTTCGATGATGATTGTACAGAAGGTTGTACAGAATGCAAAAATGCTAAATGCTATAAGCAAAGGCACAACACCAGAATAACCAACTTTTCCCCAATTAATTAGAACTATAAAATATGCAACTATCGAACTATATTTTTGGAGTTTACTAGAAAATGTACAAATAATCATTTTACCATCTTTCTCATTTTTAATTCAATATAATTCAACAAAATAATATTAATTTATACTTCTCATCTTGTAGTATATATGTCGTTGGTAATTTGCAGTGTAGGCTAAATGGAATATGTCTGTCTTTCCCATATGAATGATTAAATGGATGGATGGATGGATGAGTGAATTAATAGCTTTACTGCACTTCAATTGTAAAAAATAATAAAATAAGAGCCATAAAATATTCAGACATTAGTTCTAAGAGCTACACATGCA